CACTCAATTCAGACATTTGAGCATTAAGAGCTGAGTTTTCATCCTCGCACAGACTCAACTTTTCACTTAGCATCAAATTTTTAGAGGTCAGTTCATCAACTGAGTCAATTAATAGAGCAACAAGTTTTCTCAAAATTTTAATGGGAAGAGAGTCTAAAGCATCTTTAAGATCGAAAAGAGTTGCCTCATTTTGATCCTTTTCTTCATCGGATTTAGCCATTAAAGAGAAAATGGAGTTGAAGACATTTTCATCATCTTCTATAGCCATCATTGAAGCATCTGCATGACTTTCTGTATCTTCTTATGACTCATTTGAATTATTTCCCCAAACAGCCAAGGCTGTTCTTACCAGTTGATCAGCTTGAGCCTTCCTTCGAGCATGGTCTGGGACCAGGTTCCTCTTGCGAGGTCTGAAGTCCTGAGTTTTCTACTGTTGGCTGGGACAGTCCCACAAAAAATGACTAGGTTTACCACCTTTATGACAAAGGTCATTTGCGTTTGCTGCTATGCTGGTCGAAACATTCTTTTGAAAGACGTCATATTTCTTGATGATTTTCTGAAACCTTTTAGTAACATAGGCCATTTCATCCTCCTCCCCAGTCACATCATTTTGTGAGGTTTTCAGAGAAACAAATTTCTCCTTTTTTCCCCCCTTCATGCTTGTCCCTTGCTTTTTGTTCAGCTAGTAAGTCTGGAGATTTCCAATAAGCTCATCCATGGCAAGTGTCTTCAGATCTTTTGCCTCTGTTATAGCATCAACTTTGCTTTCCCATGACTTGGGAAGAACCTTGAGAATCTTGCGAACTTGTTTATTTAAGGGAATGGGCTCACCTAAGCACCTTAGTTCGTTGGTGATGGAAGTGAATTTTGAGTTCATTTCAAATATAGTTTCACCTTCCTTTATACAAAAATTCTCGTATTGAGTCGTAAGCATATTGACTTTAGACTCTTTTACTCGTTGTGTTCCCTCATGGGCTGTTTGGAGACAGTGCCATATCACTTTGGCTGATTCACAGGCAGAAATTCTATTGTATTCATCGGATCCAATCCCACACACTAGGATCTTCTTTGCTTTATAGTTCTTCTCTATCTTTTTCCTGTCCATCTCATTGTACTCCTTTCTAGTTTTGACAACTGTTGTAGTGAGTTCTCCGTCTTTTACTTCCTTTGTGGGAATGTATGGTCCGTTGAGGATTACATCCCACAGCTCAGTGTCTTCAGCATTGATATAGTCATGCATGCGATTCTTCCACCACCCATAGTATTGTCCATTAAAGCGGGATGGTCTGGTAGAAGACTGACCTTCCTCCATATTGGGTGGAGCAGCCATTCATTCAGGATTTTTTTTTTCTTGGTGTTAACCAAACTAAAAAGTGAAGCTCTGATACCACTTGTTGGAATGTATGCGTCCACGTATATCAATGGGACCAGGTCCTCGGCACAGTTGCGAAACAAGCAGTAAAGTAAACTCTGAAGTTAAAGATTGCACAACCAACTTTACGTGGAAACCTCCTTTCTCAAGAGAGTAAAATCTCGACATGGCCTGCCAGGACTTTTCAAATTGCTTTCACTAATCTTCTCAAGCAAAAGTAAAAGCCAGTTTACAAACTGAGATTAGCCTACTAATCCCAACTCTAAGCAATACCTCCTATTACTTAGAAGAGCTAGAGCAGATACAACACTGCCCACTAAGCTATCACCCCTAGATAACTTAGACTTTGCTAAGCGGATACCACACCGCCCACTAAATCAACTAGCTCCTAGATGATTTAGACTTTGACTAAGCAGATACAACACTGCCCACTATACTAATCCTGACCGATTAATGAAGACTTTAGAGTAAGACCCTAAGTTACCCTTAACCTAGTTCTTACAATGATTCACACAAGTTTGAAATGTTTCTTTCACAAGTGAAACGAAACCTACAATGTAAGAACTATTACAAGCAAACAAAGTAACAACTGGTACATGAAGCACTTAAAGCAATCGATCAGGTCCCTGCTGTTTTGAAGCTTGAAATATCTCTCTTTGAATGAATGAATGAATAATGTTGTTTGTTCTTGGATATATTTAGATATGAAAAGTCATTATCCAATGAACAAGCAACCTCGTCGCTTCTGATTGGTGTAGTACTCTGCAGCTTCACCAACTTTCTGACGCAGACAACTGGAAAGCTGTACAACACTTTGACCACTAGACGAGTATTCATACTCTGCAGAGGACCAGGTAGGGGCACTTGTGAGGAGATCATCAAAACATCAAGGAACATTAGCACTTATCAGATTATAATTTTTTGTTGATATAGCTAGTTTAGACTTATCATGGATGTGGTTACTGCAATACAATGACATATTCAAAACATATTGCTTGTTGTCTTTTTAAGCCCATATTTTTTCATGGCTAACATGATTTTCTGTGATTCACAATTTCATTAAACATGTTTAGAAGGAAACTAAAGCACACAAAAAAAGGTGATCCAAGCACAGGAAAATGCCGACCCACAAAATTTTGAATTCGCATACCTCAGTAACTTCAAAATGCAAGCAAAGCAACAACATTAGAATATTCATGTCCCAAATTGTATAACCAAATGGGAAAAATATATATCCTAATGAAAAAAGAGACACCCAAAACAGGAGGAAACATAAACAACATTTATCCAAATTTCAGGTAAAAGAAAAACACAGGAGTACATATTAACAACATTTATCCAGCTTCCACGTCAAAGAAATAACATACTTACTACAATGAACTTGGAAAAATGAGACACGTCTGTCCATCACTCGTCTTGAAACTTACATACATGCATATTGAAAGAGGAAGAACAATATGTTTTAAAATGGTCAATAGAAATAAAAGGAAGAATTCAAACTCAGTATGGAACGTCAATGATATTAACCAGCTATAGTTTCCAAATTAATTTTGATAACCAGGCTAAGGGTTCAGAGCATAAATGTAGGATTTAGAAGCAAAATTAAGAGAATTTCGATAAGCCTTGAATGTTTCTGTTAACTCTTATCATCTGCAGATTTACACTTCAAAGAGAATATTATAAGTAATTATACATCATAAATAAGCATACAAATGAATAATCTCAATTTATTGACACCTAGGGCAAGTCTACTTCAACTCACTACGAAAACATGGTTTTTCTTTCTTATTTATACGACAATAGAATAAGGACAATCCAAATGCTAGCAAGTACATAAGTTATACAGAACCTCCTAAGAAATTAAAAGTTATAAAAAAATTGAGATCCTACTGCTCAACGTGAAAATGAAGGGTGTGTTTGGTATGAAGGAATGTTTTCCAATTTTCTCATGTTTGGTTGGGTTAAATGTTTTGGAAAATGTTTTCCATATCAACTCATTTTCCTCAAATTTAAGGAAAATGACTTCCCTTCAAAACTTAAGGAAAACATTTTCCAAAACTCTCATCCAACTTCAAATTACAATTTTTTTTGTTGAAAAAATCAATTTATTTTGTCCCTACCCTTAAACCAGCACCCATCCCCCCCAAAAAAATATATAATTAAAGCTTGTTTTTAAAAAATGTTTTTAACTTCAACTTTTCTACCCCACCCTCACCCCTACACCCATCCCCCTAACACCTCCCTCTCCAAAAAAAATAAATATTAAAAGTTTTTTTTAAAAGATATTTCTAATTTCAATTTTTTGTTTTTTTACCCCTCCCCTAACCCACCCCCGCCCCCCCCCCCCCACCAAAATTGAGTTTGTTTTTAAAAAAAAAATCAACTTTCAAATTTCATTTTTTTCACCCCTACCCTCAACCCCCTACCCACCCACCTCCCAAAAATTATTTTTAAATTTGCTTTTAAAAAACAATTTCAATTTCAAAAATTCATTTTTTAACCCCTACCCTCGACCCCCCCACCCACCCCAAAAAAAATAATTTAAGTTGTTTTTAAAAATAATTTCAATTTCAAAATTTCATTTTTTCAGCCCTACCGTCAATCCTCCCCCACCCCCCTGCCTCCCCACCCCAAAGCGGCCCCTTGCCTCCCCATCCAAAAAAAATTTAAGTTTGTTTTTAGAAAATATATTTAATTTCAAAAGTTATTTTCTACTTTAGTAAAAATAAAAGATATTTCTCAAAAAATATTTTTCATTCACAAATCAAAACACTAAAAATCTTTTCCGAAAAATATTTTTTATTCACCAATCAAAAATCTACTTGTTTTCCAGGAAAACATTTTCCTTCATACCAAACACACCCGAAGTCTCAATTGTCAAACTAAAGAGATCAAATACATTATTTGCTACTTAAGTGTTTATCAAGTACATAAGTAAATGCTTTCACACTTGAACTCTTCTTGTACGTGTTGTGTGTACTTTCAAGCAATATGACTTCTTGCTAAATGAACGATTTCTGACAAAGTGCCCCATACCCGCACTAAGGGGTAACTTGAGATAAGATATAGAAACAATGGGATTATTTTGACTTGAGTCTTTCCCTCCTCATACAGTCTTGGCTCTAGTGAAGATAAAAAATCTTTCTATATCCTACTACAGGAAAAAACACTTACCACCCCCGTGTTGGAAAACAAATAAACTTATTTAAGCACTAAAAAGGAAAGCAACAATAAGAAATGGAATGGGAGAAGCTATAGTGTAGATCACTTTTCACTTTTTCGATAGTCTAGGCTTTGCTAATGGTTCTATCGAGTCTTCCTCTGATTCTTTTCATTTGTCATATGGATCAAATCACATGATCTCTATATGTATGTGCTGAGAAGGTGTATCACCTAGACGAAATGTAAATTAAAGTGGAAAATGGCTAAGGATGAAACAAACTCAAATTCCTAATAATGAAGTGAGTGAAATGAGTTTATGAAATGTAATTTGAAAATCTAGTATTTCCCCACAACAAGTTTTGAGAGACTCTTCACCTTAGAATTTAGAGAGAAGTGCAAAAACAATATTACATGAGTGTAGAAAGTAGTAGCCACAAAGAAGAAGTCGTATTCAACAGATTATTACCTTAAACTTTTGGGGTTCCACCTGACTTGTTGACTACGTTGGTTGGAAGTAGTTTTATGTGAAGAACATGTTATGTATATAGTTCGAATCAATTGACTTTTATATTCCTTCAAAGTTTAAAGGAAATTTAATCAAATAAGTGACGTGCAGAGGAAACCCGACCTCTAAACTTGATGGCCAATAACATGCTAGTACAAACAGAAAACACAAAGCATTCGTCTATCATTCAATTTTTTGAGAAGTAAAAATAATATAATCGCTAATTTGTATAAGTCAGATCCTTAATAGTTTGGTGAAAAGACAAAAGTACGGCCTGATTTGTTTGGATGTTTTTTTCTCTCGATTAAGTGTCCTAATTCAATCAATTTCATTAAGCTGTATCACATGAATTGTGTTCTTGCCAATTTTTTGCATATTTTCTATAGTGGTCATTTATAGCCGCAGTAAAAATCAAAATCAAATAAGCAATATAAAACTAGTTCATGATTTTACATCTTGAAAGCCTCAAATAAGATTAGGTTAAGCTATTTTTCTATGGAAAACTAAAAATGGAGTCTTATAAAACTATATTCTATAGCAGCATTTACTTTAATCCAACAACATGGCATCAAAATTAGAACATACATGATTTTGTGGGGAAAATTTTCAGCGCCAAAGGGGAAAAAAGACGAAGAAAAGACCATACCTATGACAACCAAGAAAAAATGAATTTACTGGTGTCCTAAATGATCGATTTAATCTTGAACAACAGCCTTCTTCTTCATAACTACCAGAGCCGTAGAAGTCGAAACATTAGTGTCTCTTCCATTGTTTTGCATTGGAAGAAAGAAAAAATGGAAGCTAGTGGAAATCAATGGAGTAAAGAAGGTGGAATCCATGTGTCACTAAAGGAGGAAAGGGTTTGGTAAAGAGTTGTGTTGCACTACACGTGTAACAATAAATCAAACTAAAAGTACCAGCAACGTTACCTTTTGTACAATTTAACAATGCAGTGTTCGTCCCTAGCCTTGTTGGCTTATAAATAAGAAGTAATATATATATATATATATATTGTTATATAATATTAATAATAAATCAAAGAAAGAAGATAAATAACAAAAGAAGAGAAAGAGAACAAAATAGAGAGAGCAACACGATAAAGGAAAAGGGGAAAAGTAATAGTATTCTTTTTCCTATTTTTGTGTGTATACTTAATATACAAGTAAAAGACTTATTTATAAGTCTCAAAATGTATGTTACTTGGGGATATATGTTTGCTATAGTGGGTGGGCCCATAAGCCACATGGACATTCACTATTTTACAACACTCCCCCTTGAATGTCCATGTAAAAAAATAAAAAATTAGTGAAACAATAAATATGTATTGCTATACTTAATATGCATTGCTTGCTGCATTAATACAAATTGCTTGAAGGAAGCTACTTGTAAGTTGAATGTATGAACCTACTTGAAGAGCTACTTGTAAGTTGCTTTGAAACCTGTTTGTGTAAGCTGCTTAGAGGAACTTGCTTGCAGATCTGTTTGTAAGTTGCTTATAGAAATAACTTAACAAAACTAAAGTAAAAATGAAAACCAATAGAGAGAGTACTTGAACATAAACAAAGAGAGAGAATAAGATTGGAATTGCTGTGTATATTTTGTTATATAAATTTGATGCCTATTCATAGGCCAAGGACATGTGGCAATTTGTGGCTTGCAAAGCTAACCACACTTTGGCATGAGTGAAACATTTCTACCATGCTAACTCCACATGGCATCCACAATTTTACAACATTTTTTAGTTTGTGCAATTTTGTAAATTCAACATGGACCAGGGAGCAAAACATAAAGTTTTAGAATGTAGTGACCATTTTTGACAAGAAGTCAAGAACACACCTGATAGATGGTGTAATGTGGGTAAAGCCACTAGCAAAACTGAGGATGAAGTGAAAATATATTATGAAAAACTTGTGGAAGACATATGACATAATATCTTGCGTCAATGGTTTTTTTATAACTTGCAGATCTTTTTTCATAGTGTAATTTCACTTTTTCCTCAGTCTTGCCATTGACCGGAGTCATATTACGCCATCTATCATAGTACCCTTGTCATGAATAGCCTACTTAGTTTCAAACTTCTTGTTTTGCTGGCGAGTCCATGTTGAATTTGATGTCATTTATGCAAATACAAAGAAATCAAAGAACACTATCCGATGATAAAAAGTGGTGCAAAAAAAAAAGTCAACATTGATATTCTATATATAGAAATTAAGAAATATGGTGGGCCTGAAAATATAATATGCTCATTCTTCTTTTTCCCAGCTGCTTTATACATTTTATTTCTTCTTCAAATTAGTCATAATTAATATATTAGTCGCTTAATATAACGACTCGAATGCTTTCACGAAAGGTGGAGGATTGACTCCATAGAGAGAGAAATTTAACAACTCGACTAGAGTGGATCCTAAGAGTCTTCACCCCTTCCTTTGAACCGTCAACATGCATACTACAAACATATAACAAGGCTGTTCAACAATACAACCCTTTGAATATGCATTATCATTTGAAATGATATTTCACTATAATACCTAAATTCTTTTTCGAAACTGGTTTTTCTAGCTGTGTTATATAATATGTTTTCTTTACCAACATTCTGATAAAACTATTTCAAATCAATCAGGCCCTAAAGTGAGTATAGTCAACCAATATTGTTCAAGTGCGTGCATTAAAAAATTGAAATTAATATAAAATCTTGAAATTCTTCTTACTTATGCATATCGTAAAGAATGCGATAGATTTTCACCTCATTATATAAGTAGGTAAATCTTGTAAAACAACCTTTCATCCTATTGGAAATTAATATAAAATCGAAATTTGAATGTGTTTGGTAAGGTATTTTGGCCTGATATACTAATAATTATACGAAGGTAAAGGAAAGTCATCTTATATAAAAATTAAAGAACATAAGAAACATTCTATGTTTATGATAATGGCACATTAAAATATTTTTCTCCTAAACTTCTTTGTTTGAACTATTGACTGTGAAAGTTTAATTTTTTAATATTAACTTATAATAATTTCTTTCTAGAAAAGATTTTCCTGATGAATAAAAACACTTAAAATAAGCCAATTCAAACCATCTCCAAATTGCATAAAGAAAGTTCTTTCCTTAGTTCAAAGAGCAGAACAAAGAAGTCATGAAGAGAGTTAACCTAAATCCTTAAAATATTACTCCCTCCATTTCAAATTAATCAAACTATTGAGGTGTTTCACACCCTTTAAGAAAAGAAGATTAAAACATAAATTAGGCTTAACTTTTCATTGTTATCCTTATTAATTATTGTCAAATTTATGATTAAAATAACTAAACATTAATTAATAACTAATTCCAATACTAACTAATGAAGGGTAAAATTGGAAGAACATTTTAAAAGTAGTCTTGAAAATTGAACAATTAAGTTAATTTGAAAAATAAAAAATGTTTCAACAATTCAATTAATTTGAAATGGAGGGAGTATGATATTGAGAACACCAATTAGGGCTTTTTCCACCATTAGTTTCAGGGAAAAACCCTCCCCTAATGATAATCACCTAAGAATCTAAGTTCTACGGATCGAAAAACGGATTAGGGGAGTGAAAATCTTACCTTTAGAGCTAGAAGAGGTGGAAACCTGTCAAGAACTGGCCCTGGTTCATTTCTTAGCTCTCAAGAATGAAAGTTGCAGAATAATAACGTTTTTGGGGCTTTTACCCGACTTTATTTGCGACTGAGCCGCTACAGTGGACCTTATCCCGCCACAGCGGCCCCGCCCTGGTGGGAATAATCCCACCACAACGACTTACACGGAGATAGAACCTCAAAATTTGAGTTCCAAACCCCCTTTTCACAACACACCTTCAACCCATGATGTTCAAAAACTACCATTTCACGCTAAGATCAGTTTCGGGAGTTCCATTCGTCTGAATTTGATTCCATAAAGTCGTATGGGTTCCTTATTGTCTTAGATATCTACTCATGTGATCAAATTGATAATTAGATCCCCCATTCACTACCATATTCCCCTAGACCTCATTGACTCAGATTTTGTCCAAATCTGGACTAGGCTAGGAATTTCCAGTTTACTACTCAAAAGTTTTCTGGCCCCAATTCTTCCCCCATTGGGTTTTCCATAACGATGGGAACATGTCGTTACAATAGATACCAATTTATCCATCAATCATCCCCGAGTGATAAACTAGGAAAAATTGGCTAAAGTAAAAGTAGAGTAGTACCTGAATCGTCAAACAACTGGGGATACTTGTCTCGCATGTCCTTCTCGGTTTCCCAAGTAGCTTCCTCAACTGGACGATGCTTCCATTAAACTTTCACGGACTTAATATCTTTGGTCCTCAGCTTCCGGACATCACGATCAAGAATTGCAATCGGTTCCTCCTCATACTGAAGGTCTTTGTTTAACAAAACAGAGTCCTATTTTATGATGTAATCCCCGTCCCCATGATACTTTTTAAACATGGACACATTAAATACCGGATGAACTTCTGATAAGCTAGGAGGTAATGCCAACCTATAATCCACTGGTCCTACACAGTCAAGAATTTCGAATGGCCCATTGTATCAAGGACTAAGATTTCCCTTCTTGCCGAATCTCATCACCTCTTTCATGGGTGACACTTTAAGAAGAACTTTATCACCAGTCTGAAATGACATGTCCCTTACCTTATGGTTTGCATAATTTTTCTGTCGACTTTGGGCTGCTAAGGGCTTAACTTAATGCTTCGTACCTTATCCTGAGCTTCCTTCACTAAGTCAACCCCCAAAGGTTTCACATCTGCAGCCTTAAATCATCCTATGGGTGATCTACATCCCCTCCCATAAAGTTCCTCAAATGGTGCCATGTCAATGCTGGAGTGGTAACTGTTATTGTACGAGAACTCACACAAAGGTAGGAACTTATCCCAATATCCTCCAAAGTCAATCACACATGCCCTCAACATGTCCTCTAACACTTGAATAGTCCTCTTTGACTCCCCGTCTGTTTGTGGATGAAAGGTTGTGCTAAAGGTGAGTTGAGTGCCCAATTTATCATGTAATTTTCTCCAAAACTTGGATGTGAACTGCGTACC